GGTTCCACCAGGCTTCCACGAGGGTTCCACCAGGCTTCCACCAGGGTTCCACGTTCTTCGGGGGATGCGGGGTGGCGCGAGCACTCAACAGAGCACCACGTGTTTTTTGCGTTGCTTTGCTTTGCTTTCCTTTGCTTTGAGTAAGCCGGGGCTGCCGCTACTCATTACTGTCCCATCGGGACAACGACATCGGAAAGTTAAATTCGAAACATTTATCTTTGTGCAAGCGGCGCACCTTTTTACGTCGAACAAAGCGAACTTCGCGCTTGCGCAGCACCCGGTTTGCAAGGCAGGCCGTGCTTTTGCCAGCATCCTTTCGCTGCCGGTCGCGCGCGTGCAATCTTCGACGCCCTGCAGGCGAACCTGCAAGCACATGGCGGAATGCAGGTCAACATGACTCGCGCTTGGAAAGGTGGTGCGCAGCCGCTAGGCGTTGAGGCTTTCGGGACCGCGCACAATCCCAACAAGCAAGGATTGGTGGTCTTCGGGCCCTCTATCTTCGGGCCCCCAATCGGCAGCCACGTGTGCACAGGCGTTCCTAGACGAGAAGCGCGCGGCCCAACCTGCCGTGCCGCACGGTGCCGTGCCAACTTCCTGCTGCGCGTCTTGCCCCCTTGCCAAACCCTTGACGTCGGCTGTGAGCACACTATGGCGGTGCTGCGCTGCCTGGGGCAGCTCCTGAGCACGAAAGGGCCCCACGAACTTGATTCTGCCGAGTGCGGGCCGGGCCCACTTTGGCATCTTGGGCTGGCATCCTGCCCATGATCCAAAAGCGACGCCCGGCCGTTGCCGGCAATGTGGCAGTTCTGGTCGCCGCGGGCGGACAGCATGCGCCCAACGTGCGGGGCTGCGACCGAGGCTGCGTACGCGCTCCGGGCTGGGATGAGCCACTGTGCCCTGATCAAGGTAGAGGCCCTGGCAATGGCAGTGTGCTGCTGGAATGGTGTTAGATGCCGCAGGTCCATTTGCTGACCTTGATCCCGCGTCTCGCGCGCCGCTCCTTTCCCAAGCAGGCGACCATGCTGGGCGCTTCTTCGTTGTCCGTCCCGCCCCTCGTCCTCCCCACCCCACCCGAGCTCAACGTCCGAAGTACCCGGAGTTTTTTTCCCTTTCTTTTTTTTCGCGCTCCTTTTTCCGCCAGCATCTCGGCTCGTAGGCGCTTCGGGGACCCCGGGCACCAGGGCATTTTCCCCACAACCCGAAAAAATGCACAATGCTGCTGTTGATCCGGGGGCCAGCTCCCCACATGCAGCACACCTACCGGCCCGGCATGCGGGAGGGCTCGGAGGCGCACGGGCAAGCAGCAAGGACCTCCGACGGCTCGGGCGCCGGGCCATCAAGGTTGCTCAGGCCAGGAGAAGGCACTGGCGGCAAAGGCAAGAGAGGCCGCCGCTGAGCAGGCCGGACCAGCGATGGACGTAGGCCGACCGAAGCGCAGGCCGCAGAGCCGCGGGGGCGGCGCGCGGCAAGCAGGCGCCATGTCGAGTTGGCGGACGCTGCGCTGCAGCGCGGTCTTCGTGCCCTGGCACGCTTTGCAATGTCGGCGTGCGGACGCGGAGGCTTGCAGCGAGGTCCACGTCAGGATGCGCGGCCTGCTTGCTTTTGCGCTCCGAAGCGGCCTCCGGTTGATCCGGGACACGCCGGGGACCGCGGCAGCACGAGAAGCTGTGGGATGGAAACTGTTCCTGCTGGCTCCCAGGATGCTGCTGTCCCGGCTGCATGGCCAAGCGCGGATCCCCCCAGCTGAGCTCGAGCGAAGAGCTTGTTCAGGGCGGGCGAGTGGGCCCAGCTGCTGCAGCCGGAGCGGGCCCCGGCTGGAGCCAGATCCGGCCCGCCCCCGCCTGACTCGCTTGAGGCGAGGGGCGAGCGGGCTGCGGCGTTGGCGCACTTAGGAGAACTCTCGGCTGCGGCCCGTGCACTGACGGCGGAGCCGCTGGCACGAGGCAACGAGGAGACGCTGCGCGAACTCCGGGATCCCGCCCGCAGACCGCAGAGCCCGCGAGTGCCAATCCCTGAAGCTGTTCTCCAACACCAGCCGCACGAGCCAGTGACGCTTTCGTCAACAACTTGCGCCGCGCTCGCCGAGGTGAGGCCCCTGGCCCGTCGGGCTGCACCAATCTTGGATTCAGAGGAGGACATGCAATTGCTCCACCACGCCGCACAGAGGCTTGCGCTGGCGGATGTTCGCTTGGGCCGCATGGTGGGGGGACACCTTCCGCCGGCTGGTGGCCCGGACGTTGGCGCAACAGTTTGCAGCCTCTTTTGATGCAGCTTGCCGGCACTTCCAGTTCGCGCTCGGGACTCGGGCCGGAACGGAGGCTGCTGCCGGGCCGTTCGCGCCCTGTGTGAGCGGGACCCGCATCCGACGGTCGTGCGTCGGGGCCTATGACCATGTCCATCGAGCCAGCATGCTGGGGGGCCTCGCGGGTGACAACGCGCTCGCCCCGTTGCTCCCCTTCGCTCGTTTGTTCTACGCGGAAAGCAGCACGTACCTCTGGTACGACGACGCGGGCATGCCGCACAGCGTTGTCCAAGCAGAAGGGGGCGAGCAAGGAGACCCGCTCATGCCAGCCCTGTACGCGCTGGGGCAGCACCCGGCGCTGCAGGCGGCCTCTGCCACCTTGCTCCTCGGGGAGACCGTGTTCGCCTACCTCGACGACGCCCACCGGAGCGTGTGTGTGCGGTGGCCGGCGTTGCCCGTGTTGTGTTGCAGGAGCATGCGGGCATAGAGGTGCACCTTGGGAAGACGCGGATCTGGAACGCGGCTGGAGAAGAACCGGCCAGCACCAGTGCGCTCCAAGGGCCGGGCGGGGCTGACGTCTGGGTTGGCGCCTGGACGCTCCCGCCCGAGCGGCGCGGCCTGGTTGTTTTGGGCACTCCCGTTGGCCATGCCAACTTCGTCCAAGACTGTCTGCAACAGAAGCGCGCCGAGCATCAACGGCTGCTCGACCGCATCCCTTGCGTGCCCGATTTGTGGCTGCTGCTCCTCTTCTGCGCGCGGCCACGGTGCAACTACTTGCTGAGAGCGTTGCCGCCGGCTGAGACAGCTGCGTATGCCGCTGGCCATGACGATGCGCTGGCAGCCTGCTTGAGCCACTTGCTCGCCGGAGTCGGAGCTGACGGCTGCACGGTGCCGGAGGGCGCCGAGCTGGGTGTGCTGCAGCTGCGGCGAGCGCAGTTGCCCCTGGTGCACGGCGGCCTCGGCTTGCGTGCGGCGCATAGCGAGCGCTTTGCGGCGCATTGGGCATTCTGGGCCGACAGCCTCCCGGTTCTGCGGGAGCGTCTGCCGGCGCTTGGGGCGGACCTTCTGGCTGCGCTGAGCGCAGGCGGAGGCGGGCTGCCGTGTGCGGCCCATGCTGTTCGGGCGGCACTGACGCTGCCGCCGGGCTTCACCAGGCCCACGTGGCAGGAACTCTGGGACGGGGTTGCGCCGGGCCAGGTGCCGGGCGAGCCCGGGATTTCCTCCGAGGATGGCAAAAAGAGGCCACCACGCTGACCGACGTGGCGGGGCGCGACACGCTGTTTTCAGACCTTGACCTTGCGTTGCGCGCGCTGCTGTTGTCGCAGGCGGGTCCTCAGGCGGGGAGAGCCCTGCATGTTTTGCCCACGGCCGCAGAGCTCCGGCTGCCTAGCGAGCTGTTCCGCATAATCCTCCTCCGCCGCTTGCGCATGCCCCTTCCCGCATCTGCGCGCGCCTGCCGCTGCGGGCGCCCCGCCGATGCTTTGGGTGACCATGTCGCTGCCTGCCCGACGTCCGGCGTGTACGGACCAGGGCTGTACCGGTTGAGCGGGCGATCGCGCGTGTCTGCCGTGAGGCGGGGGGGCGGGTGGCCATGCATGTCCGAGTGGCGGAGATGAACGTGGATGTCCCGGTCTCGGATGCACGGCGCATCGAGATCCTGGCGTCTGCGTTGTGGCATGGCGCTCAGGTTGCCATTGACGCCACGATGGTCAGCCCACTCGGAAGGGATGGCCAGCCCAGAGGCAGCAGTGCCAGACAAGCTGGGGCTGTGCTTGAGCAAGCGGCGAGGCGAAAATGGGAGACGACTTACCCGGAGCTGCTTACGGCACGGCGGTGCCGGCTCGTCGTCTTCGGCATCGAGGTCGGCGGCCGGTGGAACGGCGAGGCGCGGGATTTGCTCCGCGCCCTCGCCCGTGCCAAAACGAGGGAGCGGCCTCAGTGGCTGCGTGCCTCAGCGTTGCAGGCCTTTCACTAGCGCTGGTCCGGCGTTGTTGCCGTTGCGGCGCAGCGGGCCCTCGCCGCCACCCTCGCTGGCCTGCCTAGCGCGGGCCAGGATGCCTTGGATGGAGCTGCGCCGCCCTTGCCCGAGGTGCTAGCGGCCGCGCGCCATGGCGCGGCCGAGGCGGTTAGCCGGCTGCCGCTGCGGCCCGGCTGAGAAGCCTCGCCGCGGAACGGCCTGGTTCCGAGGGCTGATGGGCTTCTGGGGTTGTAGAGCGCGTTTCACCTAGGCCTAGTCCACGGCGTTTCACATTCGCATGCGGGAAAAAAATCCTTCGTTTTTGGGTGTTGGGGCCTTTGTTCTGCTTGGGGTCGGCTGGAGCCTGGAACCATCGTAAGAACATGACGCCTTTGTGATGACTGTTAGTAACTGCTTGCTTGCTGTTGTTACTGCTGTTGCTGCTGCTGCTGCGGCGGCGGCTGCTGCTGCTGTTGCTACCATTGATGCCGGTCGATGAGGTGATTCCGGAGGCTAAAACGGTATGCTGCAGCGACCGCGTGCCTCGCAGCCGAACAGAGTCAAAGGACGCCATGACGGTGGTTGAAAAAGTGTTTGTGGTGGTGTCCGCGCCTCAGCGGACAGGCAAACTTGCGAGTTGCAACAGTCCTACTAGAGAGAACAAGCAAGGGTTTTTCTCTCGGCTTCGCTGATTCAGGTGGAACTTGAACGAAATATCTCTAGTTTCTGGACGTCACAAGTTGGCATTGTTGTGTTTGCTAAAGGTTTTTATTGGAGGAAGCAGCAAATCTGTGAGCTGAGGTCGTTTGTTGTGAGCCTTGTGGTGAATGCCCTGGCCTCCACCGGTGTACTAGGAGGCTGGGCACTGAACAGGGAGTTGAGGAAAGAATGTGCACAACTTACTCTACCCGATAAACATGGTAGGATTTGCAGTGCATTCATACAAGCCAAAAAGGTACACAAATGCAGCTGCGTCCCATGCTGATATGCCGCACGTTGGCGAAGACCTTGCATTCCAAACATGCCTTGGTTGCAAGCGGAGGAGAGTCAATCGCCACCATTTCCGACACAACTCCAACCTACGCCCGGTGCTAAGGAAATGGCGCGCAAGGGCTGTCATGCAGATCATTTTCCAATTGGGGCTCCAAATGAAGCGACCGCAGGTGACACCTGATGGCTTGACTTTCAGCGTGTGGGCTGTCATCTACAGCCTTGAATTGCTGCTCGTGGCGCGCAGCCTCAGGAAGAGCGGTGTGAGTATCCATGACAAGAAAGGTGCATTTCTTAGGGCATCCGGGTGTGAGAACATCATCACGCAGTTATTCACCCACCTGCATTCCCAACATGCGATCGTTGGGATGATGTTACATAATACGCTGGAGGTGGCATGCATGGCATGTGCCCAGGTTCGGCAGGCATGCCCCTCAGACCATACAGAATCCCTTCTGCAGAAGGCATGCCCCATCACAGGCGGGGGTCGGGGATCTCTGCTGCAGTGCCTGGTGCACGCGCCAGGCTTATCAGTGCGGTGGCGCCTGGTGATTGCGTTTCTGACCAACGCGTTGCATGACCGCACTCGCGCAATCCTTGGTGCCCTGTGAAAAAAATAAACAAACAAACAAACGCAGTAGTGGCAAAGACAAGTAAAAACGTAAGATTCTGAAACTGGTACTGAACCAATGCTAAAACAAAACTTAAGCCAGCATTACACCAACTCCCGAACAAAACTAAGTACTAAATCAATACAAGCAGTAGCGAGCAATACTACAACCATACTACGCCAAGTCTTAGCAGCACTGGCCCAGCAACAATCACAAACTAAACCAAGTCTACCCATACTGATCCAACACAAGCCAGTGCTTGTGGGTGTCTTCGGCAAGCGAAATTCTCAACGTTTTTACTTGAGTCATAGTGGGACGAGCTGAGGATTTGGCTGCCAGTGTACGTCAACCGTTTTTTCGGCCTTGCCTTGGCCATCATTCTTGTCTACCTCGGTTTCCTGCTCTCCGTGTTCTCAGACCTGAACACCAAGACTGCACCTGGACTGCAGCCAGAAATGTCACATGGCCCAGGTTGGAAACAAGGGCCTAGACAGACTGAACTAGGCCATAGTGGTGTTTTATCCACAGGGTCGGCATTTTCCATTTTCCCATGAGGCCGACTCCTTCTGCGAGTGGTTCAGCTACAGTGCAGGCATTGCTTGCAACTGCAGCTGGGTCGTGGTGGCGACCTGTGCCAATGCATTCACCTGGTTTGGGGAGCTTGGGTGGAAGGATCGCTGAGTCGGTCGCAGTCAATGCGCAAGACCCTCATTCCAGATGGCAGTGGCTTACCTTGTTGTTAAAATTAGGGAGCCCCCCGCCCCAATCTTGAACAGCCCCAAATGTGACCTGGAGCGCCGAAGGATGCTTTTGGTGTGGCTGGGACGCCCACTGCTGGCGCAGTGGTGGCAGTTGCGGTCACGTTTATAGCCATCGCCCTTGCTGTTTTCCGGAGTGATCTGGTGCCGCTGCAGCACTAGATCTTCCATTGGCTTGTTCATCTCACGCATGGCCGCATGGCTTAAAAAATCAGAGACTTGTTTGAGGCGTGGTCGCTGGCAACTTGACTGCACTTACATGCGCTTCAGCAATCTCTGTTCACTGGTTGGCCACACACACTCTTGCAGACTCCTCTGCACTTTTTTCTCCATGGTTTTCTCTGTTCTTGATCGATGCGTTCACCAGCTTAGATGCTGCACTAGCACCTCTGAATTCGGACCCCCTTGTCTTTTTTGTACTCTTCTCACCTCAATTCCCTCAACAATGTAAGCTTCAACACTTGGGCAGGTGCAAAAGGAATAGGTGGCAACATGTATGGATGAAGCAGTCCACAGGCTTCTTGCTCGGGTTCAGGGAGCAGCTCACACAAGTTCTCAAAAGTGTGGCAACACCGGGAGAAGCTGCGCAAGCTGGTGATTCGCCCTTTCACCCACCAAAAAAAAACAGCAACACACCACCTGGGCCAATTTAGGTGGCCGCCTGGGCCCTTGGCGGCCTGTTCCGCATGCATACCGTGGTGGACCCCGAGAGCTTCCCCGAGGGCGCCATGAACCACAGCCTGGCGCTAGGCCGGGCTCGATGCGGGAAGTGGAACAGTGTGGGTATGTGTGGGTAATTTATGGCTGGAACAGTCGCACTTTGAAAAGCACCTTGACATCCAGCCTTGACAGGCTGGGCAAATGGAAGCCAAACAAAACTCCGCCATTTCGCAGGGCGCCTTTTCACTGATTTGTGCAGGAAACCGACAGTGAAAGGGCATTGGTGCCGTTGTTTGTGCTTTGGGGCCGGGTTTGATGGACGAGTTGGAAGTTGATCAGCGGCGGTGCGCGCCAGTTGCCATTTGGTGCTGCGGCGTTGTGCTGCTGGCCTCGGTGATCGGGCTTTTCCTGGTGCCCACCAATGCGGTGTTCCAGGACAAAGGTGCCGACTGGTTGCAGGGCCGGACAAGTCAATCAACAGACTAGGAGAAAGAGTGGTCTAATTTTTGAAAGGGTGGCTTTCTCAACCTGTGTGAGCGACCCGGAAGTTCACAGGCGTGATGGGGGCTCGGCCTTTGAACAGCTGAGTTGGTGCACGAAATGACGCCCTCAGGTGACCTGTGCGGGGTAGGAATTATGGCACAGCTTCGCTTCTGGCGGAAATGCAAATCCGAATTTTCCACGGGGTTCCTGCAGTGCCCGCTTGGGCGAGTTTAAGTGTTTGGCTGAACTGTATGTGAGCTTGCATTGTGAGGGGGACCCTGTCTTTTGGTAATTACAAGTATGCACGAAGAGCTTTCCAGCAAAGCTTGGAAGCCACAGCAGTCGCGGCTTTCTGCCTGTCGCCGTCCAGGCGATCAAAAGCGAGCAACTTGATATGCTCTTTTTCACGACGTGCAACGCAAGTGGACATGTGTATGCGTGCTGGGAGTTTGATCAGACCTGTGCCCCCTCACATTTGTTTTGCGGAACCATTTTTCCGTGTGCTCTTTCGCTCAAAGCTGCGGGGTGGGCAATTTAGCCATGGCGCTGGAATGTGCGGCATCCCAGTGACCTAGTGGGAGGGGGAACTTGGCCGGCCTTTTGCGAAAGAGGTGTTCAAGGGAGAAACCATCATGAAAGCCTGGTTAGCTTCCTTTTGAACGGGGCCGGTCTCAGGCAGCACTTTCTGCACTTTTCGGGCCCTTAAGGAAAGTGCTGCCCCTTTGGGCAGAGATTCCGAGCAGAAAGTCATGCGCCTTCTCGAGGTCCACAGCTGCCGCCATCAAGGCCGCCTGCGAAGGGTGTCGCTCGCTTCCGTGCGGTTGGCATGCGGTGGCCGAAATGCCACAAAGTGAGTGGACCCCCTGGTTTGCGGCAATGTGCGGCATGCTTTTTGTGGCTCCTGCACCTCCAACTTTATAGCCCGCGCAAACAAACCGAAAACTCTGCAGAAAAAGCCGCCCAGGCGGCTGGTGCCCGGAGGCACAGGCTCTGCCTTTTGGCGGCGGGCCCAAAGAGGGCGGGCGCATCCGTTGGAACGAAAAACATGGGGCAGAGGTCAACCAATGCCCCGCAGGGATTTGGATTTGCACATCCCTCACATGCAATAGGCCTATGACGGGTGCCTGTGCAACCTGTGGCTGCCGCATAAGGTGAACGGATGTGAGCCCGGAGAGGAAGACCGCAGGCCGTTCGGTTCTTGAGCTGTGGCATGCTGCGAGCTGCCCGGTGCACCTCAGGGCGCTGGTGCGGCAGGTTGCACGGCTATGCGGCGATCCACAGATCTTGCTTTGCAGACCTGGGCTGAGTCCTGCAGCGGGGAAGGATGTAAAGTCCGCAAAGGGTGTAGACGTCGGTTTTCAGCTTCTGGTTCTGGATCATTCCTGCGCCGCGATCCTCAGACTGCTGGCCCACCAGTGTAGCAATTTGTGACTCAGGTCGGCAACCTCTGCAAGGCCAGTAGCTGAGATTCCTTCAAGAATGCGAACAAGGTGTCCGCTTCGCAATGCAATTCAACGGGGCGAGCGTTGGCTGACTGGCAGAACTCGGCTTGGCGCTCGGGCGGACTTGAGGCCCGGAAGATGTACAGGTCACTTCCTGGTTCTTCGGTCAGGCGGAATTGCTCGTGCGCCAGGGCTGAGTGGATAATTGGATAAGCCTCCCCCCTGGCAGGTTAGGAAGGTGACGTTCTTGGGCTCTAGCTTTCATGCAGCGGTGATCTTCGATCCGGAGGACGTAGAATCCACAAGTTTTTTTCCTAGCTTCAAGAAACGCATCTCTATGCGACTTGAAGGAGATCATGCCAGAGACCCTGTGGGCGGCCGCCGAGACGGTGACGGCTACTTAGCACTGGCTTGTTTCATGAGGTTGTTTCTTTGCACCCATGCCGCGTTGCCCAAGGCGAGGAGGCGGAGTCATTTGCATTGCTGTGCTCTCAGTTTGTGAGAAGCCCTTGCCAACGCTGGATCGCTGAAAGTGAGCACTCGGAGGGTTTGCGGCATTATGTTTTGGGGGTGGGACTCCAGTCTGAACCACAACATGGGGCTGTAGGCTTTGTTTTTAGAATGTCACGCTTCTTTCCGGAAACGGCACCAAGTGTGTGCCCCTTCTCGAGTGGTTGGCCGAGGTTCCCTCCTGCTGCTCCAGTCCCGGGCGCGCGTGCCCGGGGTCAAAAAGGGAAAGTGAAAGACAACCACCAAATTGGAAGGCCTGTGCGACATACCCATAGACAATGGACAAGCTGTCCTGTATGATTTCTTGATGTTCTGGTTTTTCGGGTCGCCGGTGCTGTGTGGTCCTGTGGTGCGGGCGGGACGCCTGAGGCCTGGCCGGCACGGTTTTTTTCCACGCCTTCTGGCAGCAGTCCAAAAGGCCATGGTCAAATGAGTCAAATGCCTCAGGTGTCAAAATCAAAACCCAAAGTGAAGGTTAGGAAGGAGTCCCAGCCATGGTTGGGGTTGCCGTCTTGATTCTTTCGATTCTTTGGTCGACAGCTTTAGTGTTCGGTTTTCACTGTGATTCATCTCCGGTGAGGGAGGGGAGACTTTTGGGTCGGGATGCGGATGCTGGAGTGGCTCTCCATTTATGTGCAGCTTGGGGTCGGGGGGCAGCGAGGTCAACCATGATGGAGGAACCATAGCAACCTTGACCCCTTGTGAAGCAAGCCGACGGAAAAAAATAGAGTCCAACTGTGATTCCGGCTAAACGGCTTAAAGACCAGGGGTTCACGCTTTGCTGCGGAATTCCCCAGCGATCAATGTGACGCCATTCTTGCGTGATAACCCTTTATCACATTGCCACATTGTGGAGGTTCATTCATTTGGTTCCCACCTGGCATTCTGGCAGGTCGCAATCCACGTGGATGCCGTTCTGCAGCCCATCCAGCCCTGACCTTTGACATGCTATATCAAGAAATCCACGTTTGGAGGTATGCCAAAACTAGGGGTCCTTCTGGCTTGAGTAAAGGCCACACAGGCACCCTCCTAATGCTGGCTAGCTTGTCACACTGAGAGGGTCCTTAGTTGGGTCACTGACCTTTCCCTCTTCCTTCACTCTTCTCGGGGAAGTGCGCGTCACCAGCACACGTTCTCGGTCACGTGTGAGGCCAATTCCAGACGAAGCTCTGGCGGAGTGGACCTTCCCGACGTCAGAGTCGCAGGCCATGGGCGGAAGTGCGGGCCGGGCAGCCAAGCGCGCTCTGGTGCCAAGACTAGGGATCCCTTGTGGAAATGGTTTCCAGCAGGATCGAACTCATGCCCCAGTTTTGACACACACACACACACACAGGCACTCACAGAGCTCCCCGTGCCCACATCGTACCAAGCGGTTGCATTTGGCAATCTAGGTGCTGGCGAGATATGCGTGCGGCTCTGAGTGTGTCACATGCGGCTTGCCTTGGTTTCCAGCAACAGTCCCGCAGGCCTTGCTGGACTTGACTTGTACAGCGGACCAGCGCGCGGGGCTGACCACTGCGCTCGAAGTGCCGCGTGCTTTCCGAGTTGGAGTTTGATTCGTCAGGGAGCCTCTGGGCATGCAGCCAACCATGAGTGAGGAATAGCTGGGGGGTGAATGCTGCTAATCATCATCCCATGCTAACCTTTGGAGCGGTGCCAAGTCGTCGAGCTGCGCTTTCGCACGGCGGGCTCGGCCAAAAGTGCCAGGTGCTGGAAGACGATTCCCAGAGGACTCAGTTGGCGCGGTTCTGAGTCTGTTTGGCTTGTGGCCATGACCCAGAATGAAATTGGGGGTGTCCCGTGTACGAGGGAATCCACAACCCCGAGGATCCGCCAATTTGATGAATCCTGGGTTGCCACGAAAGGCTTGGTTGTGGGAATCAGGCTGACACAGATCATGAACTCAAGGTCATCACTGGTCGCCGTGGCCGTGGCAAGTCCTTGGCTTATGTGCACGGGGCGTGCGTGGGTGTGGAGGGACCCGTGGCAGCATGTCAAAAAGCGATCTGACATTCGGCTTGTCTAGCATCTTGCTACGCCCGCAGCTGAAGTTCTTGTGGGGACTGGGTTGAATTTCAGCCATGGCGGCCGAGATGCCCTGTGCCGAAGCGGCAGTTGACAGCGCTGAAGCGAAGGTGCTCCCACACGACGCCGCAGAGCAAGAGCAAGATGATCAGGCAGCAGGTGAAAGTCTTAACAAGGCATCATTGATGACAGCCATCTCCGCAGTCTTGAAAGGCGGGTGTGAAAATGTTCAATCCGAAAACATGAAACGGGAGGACCTGTGCTTTCTTGTAGCTATCTTGCGGAATGCACATGATTACACGACATGATTCATTACGTTTGAGCCCGTGAGTTTCTGGCGGTCAGCTGCTAACTTCTTCCTCTGCTAAGTCTCCCTCTTCCAGGGCCTTGCGAGATATCCCTGAATGCCTGCCCCCGGGGCCCCCACAACACCCCAAGCAGATGCTTTCCAAGCCTCCCTGCCCCTGAGACCGGGACCTGCACAGCTTCTGCATGAAGGAAGGGGTGGCAATTTTGAAGCCAGGCCTAAGGGAGACCAAGAGGTTGCTCAAGCACAGGTTTTGGCATATCCCGCCCAATGTGTTGAAAACCGGGGCGCCAGAAACTTGAGAGTTCCCTGAAACCATGGGGCCATGAAAAATTGATCCTCAGGACCTCCGTTCCGCGCTGGAGCAGTACCTGTCGCTGGAGGAGGGCACCCTGCTTTGCAGGAAGCAAGAGCTGGCGGAGCTGGCCAAGGCGGTGTGGTTTGGAATTGGCCGGGGGGGGGGGCGAGGGCGGCGGAGGGGCAAACACATAGGGTCGAGGTTTGCGACTGCCTTTGGCAAATTGGGGTCTGGCGTTTTTAGGGTTTGGGCTTGCAAAACAGGCTCCGGTTCGCTCGTAAGCAACCTTGCACGAATTAGAAATCTCATGGCTGGTGTGTAGAGTTGCAACAGCTGGGGTGACTAGCTTGACTGTTCCTGGGGGGTTTTCAATTATCAGTTAATAAAGTCAGAAACTGGGATTGTCTCCTTTTCACGTACCACTTTTTGGGTGACTTTGATACTCGCTGAAGAATGGGGCCAGCACACGCACCCTTTGCACCGGCACCTGTCACAACAGAGGAGAACCATCCAGTGTGAACATCAAAATCCGAAAACGCGTTGGACCGCCCTGTGAAACCTCCCCACACGTCCCGCCAGCGGCCTGCACTGCATAGTCCCTATCAAGCTACCAACATCCTATATTTGGGTGTTTCTCCAAATAGGGGTCCCCTAAAATGGTTGGTCCTTTGATATTTCCTTTTTCCTTGGCTACCGACTGAAGGGTTTCACCATTTTGGGAAATGTCCGTGCAACATTCGTATGCAGGAGGAGGTCCAGCGTCTCATGGAGGAGCCAAAAGCCAAAGCGAGGAGGGGTTGAGGGACAACGGTGTGCTTGCATCACCCGAGTCTGGTGGAGGATGGATTGTGCCTGCGCTTTGTTCGCCCCATTGGCCAACCAGCAAGCAACTCGAGGTGTGTCATGTGACTGCGTTTGCGGGCGTGTGTTACCTAAGGGCTTATAACTTGTAACATTTCCCTTTCCGCATCCGTTTATGCAGGCTCCAATTCACAGGAAGTCTGTGTGATGTCGATACCGGGTCAGGTGTCCTTGGTGAATGGTCGTTAGCCAGACAGATCCAGGACCAAGGGCTCGCGGCCAAAGCGCAAGGCGCCCTCAGAGGATTGGCGGCGCTTGCTGCGGAAGGCTGACAGGGCTGAGGGAGGTAGCCAGGCAGGGCCGACAGCCTGCCAAAGAGCTTTGTCTTTCTGGCGGCAGCTCAAACCTCCCTGATCTCAAACTACAGATCCCCTGACTCCGGGAGCCCTAAACACTAGCTGCGATCGCAGGCACATGCCCAGTATGTCGTGATATCAAAGCGTGCATCACTGAAAACAATCAGAGGTCCTGTACGATTGAACGCGGAGTGAGCAGATGCATGTGTTTTCGTGTTTCCATTCCTAGCCAAACGCGTCTTGCGCGTCTTGCCCTTCGTGCCTCAGGGTGACATCCGCCCAGAGGAGGTTGAGCCCTCCTTGACGGCCGAAGTGGGCGGGCAGAGCCTGGAGCTGACCGGGAAGGTCTTCGCCAGTGGGTCCCTGGGATATCATGGCTGCGCCAGGCTCACCCTGGAGATCGGCGGCCAGCCGCAGGAGGTGATGTGCCAGATCAGTTGCGCCGTCCTCGGCAAAGCGCCAGAGCCGCAAGATCAGCCGGACGTCACGCCTGACGTCGACATCGCGCCGGACGCGCAGGAGCTGTGAGCCGATTTCCCGCTTTTGGGGGCGCTTCGACCTGAAGCCATGCATTGCTGGCAATCAATGCTTTGGGGCGACTTGTGCGGAAAGCCGCAGGGCAAAAGGAGCAGAATTCAGGTGAGGGAGGGATCACGCCGGCCCGGTTGGAGCGACGGCTGCTGGAAAGCAACTGAGGTCGACACTTGTGGGGCTTGTGGTGGCTGGTGTGGCAGCAATGCGGTGCCACTGGCAGCTTTGACTGTGTGGGGGAGAGGGCGTGTGACCCCAAGAGGTAAATTCATGTATTTGAATGACTTGCATGGCCTGAGGAGGGTTCACCCGGAATGAGAATGGTCCCACAAGATTTGACATGGAGCACCTGAGCTTTCAAACTTTAGAACCAAACATGCCACGAGAACCGCACCCTCACGGCCCCCACACACCAAGCAAGCACTCAGACGGTTCTGGCCAACGTCGTCAGTAGTCTGCTTTTAGAGACTCCCGTGAAGTGCAGCCCTCCTTCTGCACCTGCGGAAATGCAGGAACAGACCGTTCAGTTATGCTTTTTGGGTTTCTTTGTGCACGCCCGAATTCAACATAACACGTTATAGCTCAATGGGCTTGGTTTTGAACAAGCAATGCTCTGCAAGTCTGGGAAACACATGAGATGCCGTGTCGGGCATGTGGGCTTCCTTGCTCGTTTCCGCGAGTGTTCAGGGAAGCTCGCTTATTGAGTCTGTTCGCGTCAAGGTGGGTGTGGAAGCTTCTGCAAATCAGGTGTGTCATTTCCATCCTTGATGCGCACGGCAGGTCGGTCTTTACAACTGTGGTGGTCACTGTGCCGGAGAAGGAGATTGCAGGGCCCCAAAGCGCAAACTCGGTCGGCGCGGTTGCTTTTGGATGGAACGGTTGGCACTGTTGCTCTCTCCTGGCAGAGTATTCTGCAGACCTGATGATGCTCAGCAGGTCAAAGCTCCAATGCTTCCTGCAGTTCCTGTGTTTGGATTACTTTCTTCTAGGATACCTCCTTCAGACACACTTTTTTGGTTAGACCGCAGTTACGAGCTGAAAGACTGTGCAGTTCGGCCAGCTGACGGTGCTTAGTCTGGGGCAAACGGATATCATCAGCCTAGGCATCGGAGTTGCTGCGTTCGTCCCGTCCATGACTCAAGATGCTTGTCGGCGACAGCTTGGAGCCTGCAATCACTTATTGTCATAGTGCCCCTGTTTGGTTCATCAATTCAGTTGACGATTCCCCTTGTGCGTGCTAGGCAGGGGTTTGGAGGCGCTGGGCAGAGGCGTTTGGGGACGGGCAGAGTGCGGAGCAGCCAGTGCCCGAAACGTTTCGCACATGCTTGAGCACCTGCGTGGCGCCTGGTTCTATGTTCGAGCGCCACAGTTGCCTCTTGTCATCCTGTCATTTGTCGGTCGGGCTCGAGTCTGCGAGGCTACTTTACGCTGGACGAGCGCGGCAGCTTCTGCGCCACAAGGCGCAAGTGCGCTAATGAGAGGAAGGATCCAGGATGCCCCAGGACCCCGGATCACTTTTGGAAAACCCTAGAAGTCAAGAGTCCGGGGTCCGCAAAGCCAGGGGCGCTGAAGCTAGCTGGATGCTCAGACTTGAGCTCTCCCCAGCTGGCAAGCTATTGGATGGGTTCCAAGCGGTTTCAGAACCGCAGCCCCACGTGCCGCTTTCATTGTAGAGCGTGTTGTCTCCTTCGACCGCAGCCTCAGGACAGGTGCTTGTGGCGGCGCTCGCCACGACACCCCAGCTGTGCCGTGCTTGGCGTGATGCAATGCACGGACGCTCATGCTGCACATGGCGCAGGCGCTCCGAATTTGATGGGGGCGACACCTAGTCCGGACTCCGCATAGGCTTGACGAACTGGGTGCACATGCCGCACCTCTGCACCCTCCCTCCAAACATGGAAGCTGACAAGGTTTTGGAAGACGAGCTCGCTTCTCCGAGGAGACTTTGCAAATGTCGCCGGTTCCGAGGCTGCAGGCCCTTGAGGAGATGGGGCACCGGGTGCTGCTGGTAGTGGACGAGGACTGCCAACATGGATATGTCTCACATTGGCGGGACCCGCGGAATCCATTGTTTCCTCTTGGCTCCCCTTTGTAGAAAGGGTATCCCGGTTTGCAGGTTCTGTGGTTTGCGCCCTTTAGGGTTTGGGGTCTTAGGCATTGGTGTTGGGGTTTTTGGATTCAGGTTTGTGCTTTTGAAGGTGCTTCTCCATTTTGAGCAAGACAATTTCTCTATTGTAAACGTCAGCCGGGGGGTAGGCGTCAGGCGAATTCAAGTGTCACTTGAAATTTAAGGGCCTCGAGCGTCACGGATTAGTAGGGGCTTTCAGGATAGCAGAAGCGCGTAAGCATTTAATCAGCAAAATAGATGTCATTTGTACATAGATGGTATGATGTCAAGGTTTTGGCCATTCACCTCATATCCACAGGTGGCCTCTGTGCCGATCCCTACCTGGAAGGCCCTGCTGCGGCTCGGCTCGTTTTCGGGCGGTCCGATGGTCTCAAATCGAAAAGTGCTTTGGGAAGACCAAGCGAGTGGTGAACACGGCCTCCCTTACAAAGGCTTCAGGGAACGGCATGAAAACTAGCTGTGTGTCCAAACAATGGCCCCACATTTTGGAGGTTTATGATAGGAACACATTGGGAGTTCAAGCATCACCTTCGGGCCAAAAGTGAGAAGTTAGTTTTTGTTCGGGGTGATGCAAGTACGTAAGATGCGTGGCCAGGCGTGGGGCTGCGTTTGGCACGTGAAACAACCCCAGCTGAGGTCTGCGCCGGCGCATGGTGTGGTGATGGCCGGGCTTCTGCATTTCGGTCGGCTGGTGAGCTGGGGGTGGGCGTTGAGGGGCGGCGTTGGGCAGGGTTGGTTTGAGTTGGCTTGCATTGGTTTTCAGTGCTTTGCTTGCAAGGTGTAGTAGTTGCTTTTGGCGTTTTTTTCGCCATTGCCTTACGGGCAGTTCACCAGAACTTTTGATCAGCTCAGTTTGAAGGATACGGAGGCGCGTGTCTTCTCCGCCCTCCACATTTTTTTTACCGGACAAGCTGAAACACATGTGGAGGACTCCGTGAATAGGTCAGCCCCTCTCGAACCTCTCTTCATGGTGAGGTTACTCAGTCAGAGAGGGGCGAGAGAGAGGGATTCTATGAAGTTGAAAGTTGAAGGTCTGAGAGTGGCACTGGGCAGGGCTGGTTGCAAACCTTGTTTAAGCAACCGGCAAGCTGTTCCCCAGAAAAAGCCCACCGTTTTTTCTGTAAGCGATAGGCCAGGTGTTTAAGAATGTGTGGTTCTGTTTGTTATGTGCCAAAATATTGGGGACACCCCAACAAAGTGTGGTTCTCCTGTTGGTCTTCGTCTAAACCAAGCTGAACAGGCACCCTCAAAAAGCAGAAGCCCGTTGAGCAATTCGGGCGTTGGACGAGACCGGCGCCGAGGCAGGCACCACCTCCAACTGCGAGGGCACCGGCGCAGCCTTGGAGTGGCCTGGCGCTCGGCGCTGGCATGTGGATTCATGATTTGTCTCAAAATGGGCAGGGGTCCAGCTTAATTCATCCCCATTTGATTGGCGTCAAAGCTTTAGACACGGGAATTGTTGATAGACAACTAAGCAGGACAGGGAAGAGGAACCTTTTCGAGGATCCAAGTCCGCTTTCCATGTCTCTTTAACTTGAGACCAGCTGCGCCCAGGAAGGTGCTGATAGACGCTCAGCCAGGCCAGCCGGCGATGTGCGAAGAAGGGCAGCAAATTGTTGCATTGCGTGTGGTTGTGTCTGCAAAGAGGGGACCCCCAAGTTTTCTGGTTTTACACTCGACAAAAGGTGCCCTCAACAAAAAGACCCCGCATGCCACTTCTCTTGCTGAAAGGCCCTGAGATGTTGTTTGGAGGCTTTGGGCCAGAGCTTGCCCACCAGGCCTCAAGCAGAAGCGGCTGGTTTTAGAGGCACGCGACTGGGGTTCCCTGGATCAAGCAAGGGGACCGAACTTGCAAACAGCTGGCGTATGAGATCCAGCTGGGATGGGCTGCCATGTGCTGGCCGCGCTCCTTTTGGAGACGTGGCCATTTGCGACTCGCGCCCGGCATCGCCAGGAGCCTGTGCGCTATGGGCGTGGGTGTCCTGTGGAGGCACTGCTGGCCCGCGCCTTGGGGGAATGGGTGACTTGTTCCCTGGCGAGCTTGTTTAAGCATCCAGGGCCTGGCGACAAGGAGGTTGTTGAAACACGTTTTGCACAAACATGTCTTAACGAGGGGGTTGGGCCAACCCTGGTCTGAGAGTCTGAGGGTCTGAGGATCCGAAGTAGGCGATGCTCGAAAGGAGTCCGGAAATCGGAAGGACCCTGAGCTGCTCTTGACAAGACCTAGGTTGCCTAGGTTGCCTCCCTGACTACAGCAACAACGGATGATTGTTTGTAAAGTTCTGGCCTTGAAGGGACTGAATCAACAGATGGCCGGACGACTGGGCCCATGGGCCTTTCGCTTGCGTTGACATGTTCTGAGGACTCCGTGCTTTTCCTTGGTGCGGCGGCAGCCGTGACCCCTGGCTCACGGAGATCTATGACCAGTTTCTGCGCGTCCAGGGCAACAAGTGGGGCCATGGTACGTTTTGATTGGGCAAACCTGTGGTCAACATAACAAGCATAGCAATGGTTCATCAACATGTTGGACTTTGGGTGGTTCTCAGAAGAACTCCAACTGTGGCAAGGTGACCATGTGCCCAAGGCCACCTGCTGGCATCACCTCTGTTGGATGGATGATCCATTGCCCATGGTGTGTCTAGACATTGAATTGGATGTGCGTGGTTGGTTGGTTGGGAGGTCGGTCAGAACCAGTGGTTTCCCAATGCAGCGGCGGCCTTCGCGTTGCTCCCAAAGTGATGAGGAGCAACCTTTGCACGAGCTCCCAGACCAGCTGAGCCAGGGCCCGAGGTGGTCCAATCCCTGAACAGGTGCTTTGCATTGTCTAGGCGGGTTGTTCATGGGACACTGGTACTTTTCAAGGGGTTCT